TCTGAAACCATCAAAAGATAATTACTTGCCTCAAAATGTTTCCAATGTAAATAAACCTAGTTGAACTGTATTTTCCCACTTAACCTTATATTGGATGCATTATCCCGAGAGTACTAAACATGATACTTTGAAAACATTATATACACATTTATGTTTCAAAGAATGGTTTTATAAAACAACAGAAATACAAATTGTAAAGAGTAGGAAATTTAAGTTCACTAGGGACTTCTCCTGAACTGACTTAGTCTTGATCTTTCTTCTTTTCTTCCTCATACGACACTCCTTTCTCAGCAATCAAAAGAAAAAAAAAATCCTAGGAAAAAACCCATTCTCTAATTAATGTGCTGAAGACAATAGTGTATGCATCATTCCTTTGTTGTGGGTGGGAAAAAAAATCACTCTCAGGACCACCATAGCCTGTACAACCACCACAGCCTAGATAAACTAGTCCTTAAGAAGGAGTCACTTACTGACCCAACGTGATGTCACAGCTCCAAAGCCCTCAAACTCCAAGGCACCAGCCACATCTGCAATGGGTCAGCTGCATTTTAACTTTGAGGTAATTATAGAAGCTGGCACAGTGGTAAAGAGATTTTCAATTCTGTCAAGATACAAAACTGAAAGAGCTGACATATTAAATATATAATTTATCACATTTCTACAGGTAATTAAAACAACATGTTTTTCTATACACATATATAGGGAGACTATTTCCTGGACAACGATTTACATTTTTCTTTTAATATGACAGTATGTAACACATTGAGGTATTTAACTTTTTAATGGCTGATTTCAAGGATTAGTGATTGCCTTATCCAGGGTATTCCTGCTCTTGAATCCGTGATTTAAGCTACCATGATTGCAGTGAAATGTTCACTACCAAAAGCATGATAGGGGAAGCAAAGGAGAGGAATGAGAGTGGGGAGACAGACACATGGAAGACAAAGAACATATCACAGTGTAAGGTGATCAGTGGTGCAAGAGAACCAAGCACATATGGAGTCTATGGGCAGGAGAGGTGGAAGAGGAGAGGTGAGTGGTGACAAGGGATTGAAACATTCCAACAAGGAAAAGAGTGCCACAGGTAATGTAACAGCCTGGGCAAATGCATGGAAGCAAAAGCAGCAGGGGGAGGGTAAGGAAGAAGTTGTCTAAATCAGGAGTCCCCAACTCCCAGGCCACAGACCAGTACCAGTCTGTGGCCTGTTAGTAAACAGGCCACACAGCAAGAGGTGAGCAGAGAGGCCTAAGCTCCACCTCCTGTCAGATCAGCAGTGGCATTATATTCTCATAGGAACACAAACCATCTTGTGAACCTTGCATGTAAGGGATCTAGGTTGCACACTCCCTATGATAATCTAACGCCTGATGATCTGAGGTGGAACAGCTTCATCCCAAAACCATCTCCACCCCTATCCCCCCACCCCCATCCATGGAAAAACTGTCTTCTACAAAACCAGTGCCTGGTGCTAAAAAGGTAAGGAACTGACGGTCTAAACAGAAAGGAAGACTCATGTAGGAAAGTTGAGGAAAATGAAGCTAGAGAGAAGGTAGCATTGAATGACAACTGGCTTCAAAGCCACACAGAGAAACTGAGCATTTAACCTGTAATGAAGCAGTTTACAATTCCAGGAAACATGAGAGCTTCTGAGCAGGCATCCTCACCAACCAAAAACAAACAAACAAACAAGACAGACAGACAGACAGACAGAAAGAAAGAAAGAAAGAAAGAAAGAAAGAAAGAAAGAAAGAAAGAAAGAAAGACTGCCACAGATTTCTAAGCTGGCTGCCCCTCAGGGTTCATCACTTCTAATATATTCCATGGCCAGAGAAAGAGCATTGCCCTCTCCCCTAAGTGCATGGGTGCACGAGAGCATGCACAGTTCACCCATGCACTTCATATACATCCTCCTTCCCTATGGACAGTGAACTCAGAAAAGAGCAGGAATATGCCAATAATATCAACAAATGGCAACAGAAGAATACCTACATATCCTGGATGCTTCGAGAATAAAACAACCCAAACAGCTTTGCTTATCAGTCTAGGTTTCAATACATTTGTATAATTTTTAAACAACTGGGCATTAAACAGAATTTTAATTGAAGTTTCAGTCACCTTATCCAGCTGTCTAACCTTAGAAAAAAATGCAACTGAAAAACATTTCAATTAAAAGAAAAAAAGAGGCAGTTCAGTATTTTCATTTAAATTATAAAATACAAACATGCAGTATATATTTAAGATTATTTTTCATCAAAAAAGAATAAGTTAGATGCTAATTTTTATGTAAAGACACATTCTAATCATCATTCTTTTATTATATAGACCCTTCTTCTCCACCACCACCAACTTTCATGTTTTGCTGTTCAACATGGAAAATCTTTTCCCAGAAAATAACAGGCTAAGAGTCACGAAGTCCTTCCTGATCCTGTAATTACAGGATGTGCCACCAGTCAGAATGATCTATGGCATTTCAGGTTATTTGAGTATCAAAGAGCCACTGCACTGTCCTAAAGAGAAGAGCAATGTACAAGTGGCTCATCTCTCAGTGGCACAGCAGCTCCCAGAGGTCCTGGACCAAGTCACTTTCCCCTGTGCAGCCTTTCTGTTAGGGAGAAACTTCCCAGCTTCAATAGAGAAATGCTCATTCACCAACAGAAGACACTGATTGTTGTTTAAAGATGCAAAATTCTCCGATGCTCTAATATAGTTATGTTCCTATATATGAGGAGTGCAAAAGGAGCAGACTAGTGAGCGCAGAAAATCCCCAAAACAAGTTGGATTTGGAGTTGTATGCTCCCAGTGAGCAAAAAACTCACTGCACATCACAATCTAACAATGATAACGTTTATTCACTTTCAACTTTGCAAGCAACTTAGACACAGAGGCAAATGGCTGAGGTAACATTCAAGTTCCCAGTGATGCAAATAATTTACTTCAGGCAACAGAATATTCTCTGTTGTCAGTTTGAAAGCTTGTAAAAACCTTAAGCCATCACAAAACTTCTCTGATTTTTCTAATCAATTCTGAAAAATCCCCAGAGGTCACCAGGGGTCCTTAACATACTAGAAAGGAAAGAAAGACTGTTGCAAAAGCTACAATCATCATTTCTACAAAATATTTAACCTCAAACCCTTGAGACGACTTCATCAAACCAATCCATTTATAAATTTTGCAAGCTATACAAACTGAAATCAGAACTGCTTTCCAAAAAGAAACTCTGGGCCAATTTATGATGGCCCATATCAAAATAAACTTCCTAGGCAAATAAGGACAGACGAGAAAGCAGCCTTCTCCACGTATTGGTACAGCCTTAGCATAGCCTATTCCCTTCAGAAAAGTTATACTGAAGAGAGTCTACCATGGGAAAGGTTAATTACAATCATGACTATTGTACATTAAGTATTAATTACTTTCCACAGAATTGTCATATAATTGTCTTAACACTAAAGGGAAAATGGTTTGTACTGGGTATAATAAAGTAGCAAAAAAAAAAAAAAAAAACCTCAACATTGTGATATACAGAAATAAATGCAAATATGTCGCATTACTTCTATTACTAGAGTTAGAATTCAACCGTGGGTTGGTTTTATAGAAACTACTATGATCCCTAATCCCTACATTCATGATATTTTTACTTTTTTATGATACAGGGTCTCCACGAGTTGCCCAGGCTGGTCTCAAATTCCCGAGCACAAGCAATCCTCCCACCTCTGCTTCCTAAGTAGCTGGGACTACGGGCATCAGCCACTATGTCCAGCCATGATCTTGTTTTCTAACTCAACATAGAACGTAAGTGAAAAGTGTAGGGAAAGAGGGGAAAAGAAAAGTAAGGGAAAGAGGGGAAAAAATCTGTGAAAGATATCTATCTACTCTGATAAATTTATTTAAACAAGAAACTTGAGCTTCTTGTTACTCACTTAACAGCATTCTCACAGACACGTGACCTTACTTAATAATTTCCATAAGTAAAACTGGAGAATACTTCAGAGAAGGATTCTTAACAGAAAGCCTGCCTGAATTAATCCTCTAGACACAGAAAAAACAAGGCCTTCATGATGCTAAGAGACATTTACAAGACACTTAGTAGTCAGGGATCTGATTTTTAATTTGAGGCAATAAAAATTTCTTTTTTATGAAAGAAAGGTAAGAAGGGTAACCAGGCACGCAGTGGCTAATGCTTATAATCTCAGCACTTTGCGGGGCTGAGGCAGGAGAACTGCTTGGGCCCAGGAGTTCAAGACTAGCCTGGGCAATAGCAAAACCCATCTCTACAAAAATAATTTTTTAAAAAAATTAACCAAACATGATGGTGCATGCCTGTGGTCCCAGCTGCTTGCAGGGCTGAGGTAGGATTACTTAGGCCTGGGAGGTTGAGGCTGCAGTGAGCCGTGATCACCCTCCACTGCACTCCAGCATGAATAACAGAGTGAGACCCTGTCTTTAAAAAAGGACAAAAAGGGGAAAAAGATAAATTTACATCCAGGAATGGTAAATGATTATAAATGAAACTACATTACATCCAGCTGCATCACAACAATCTAGTGAAGGAAAAAGGATGTTTCAACCCACATCAGTTACAAAAAGATACGGAAAAGGATATGGCACATAGATTTTTACTGAAGGTGGTTAAATTAATGTAAAGAGTTCAAGTTAAAAGTAAAGACACTGTAAAGAAATCTACAGCATGTTAACTCTAAAATCCAGCGTGTTTAGGAAATGAGTCTCAGCTTCTTCTGTAGAACCCTAAAACATATGTCAAGGCTGACTGATTTTATCCCATGACATAAACCTGGAAGACTTTTACCAGTAATAAGGCTAGCTTATATGAAGTGACTCTTTAAGTTCCAAATTCCTTTTACCTGTAAATTGTTTATTATGTATGATCTCCTAATAGTATGTATTTGTTACTTGTTGAATTTTTTTTTCCTATCCAGCGATTTTTTTACAATAGTTTGTTTTACATACCAAAAAAAAAATCCTAAAAGGGTCACCATCTCACCTTCATCACTTGGTGCCTGCTGCTTCACAAGAGTCATCGGGGATCTTGCTGGAGGCCTGCTAAGTGGATGGCGCCAACTCTTAGAGGTTTTGTTCTCTCCCTCTGTTATCTAGTTACAGAACAAAAATGGTGGAGAAATACCATTATCAAAAACAAACTACCAAAAAAAAAAAAAAAACCTACAGTTCACAATGATTTATAACTTAATGTTGAAGAAATCTTGTGGCTGTTTACCTCTTGGGGAATTAGTCCTTTAAGAAATTTAACTTTAAGGTCAAAAGAAATAGGAATCAATTCTAGTAATTTTATCCAGAGGTCAATTAACTCTTCTTCTACTTTGTATTAAAATACAAGCTGTAGGGCAGGGTAGGCCTATTAAACCTGCAATAAGCTAAGCAGTTAGCAAGTTTTCTAAAGGTCTTACAACTAATCTACATTTAGGATTCTAGGCCAGGCACAGTGGCTCATGCTTGTAATCTCAGCATTTTGGCAGGCCAAGGTAGAAGGATCACTTGAGCCCAGGAGCTTGAGACTAGCCTGGGCAACACAGGGAGACTCTGTGTCAATAATTTAAAAAAAAAAAAAAAAAAAATTAGCCAGCTCTAGTGGCATATGCCTGTGGTCCCAGCTCCTCAGCAGGCTAAGGTGGGAGGATCGCTTGAGTCCAGGAGGTCGAGGCTGCAATAAGCCAAGATCACACCACTGCACAACAGCCTGGGTGACAGGGCAAGACCCTGTCTCCAAAAATAAATAAGTAAATCTAAGATTGCATTCATAAAAATACAGGACTGTGGCTCTTGATCACCTCTAAGATGTTCCCATGTTAACATTTAGCAAGGAATTTTATTTTCTATCCTCCCAGAGAAGACAATCCTGCAAAGTTGAGGCTGTATACTTCTTTCCATTCAGAAATGAATCACCACTTCTAGATCACGTACATAAACAGTCAAACAAGAAACCAAAAGTATTCTCTTTTTAAATGATACATTAATGCCATGTTGAAACCACTTAAATTTTACCAATGATTTTTTGGTCCTGGGATTTACAGACTATATATTCCTTTCCCAGGTAGAAAGTCATGTGTATCCGTACACCTTCCAGCTAGGACCCACCTTTTAAGCTCTCTTGCTTGCACAACGCAAAATTTTTAAAGGCACGGGGAGGGGAAAGAGGATATCAGAGAGAGTTTGAACCCAGCGGGCTTACATCAAGAGGTGACTATGAAAGAAAACAATCTTAGTCTTCTACCTGGTAAGCTGAAGAAGCAGTGGCCAGATACAGAGAAACTACTCTGGCCTCTGACTCCAACATATGATTCTAAGAAAATGTGTAAGACCATTGTAATCAAAGCTAGGAATAAGAAAAGAATGACAAATGCAATATAGGATGACAGCTATCTATGTTTATAATAGCTAAAAAACAACATGGGAAATTATAACTCAGCCAAGAAGAAATATCACCACACTACTGTGCACCATACTGTTGTCATAGCTGGAGCTATAACAGGATAAATTACATCAGGTTTCTGCTCTCAAGAAGCGTAGATTATAGAGGGGTAAGGGAATATATAATAAATGAATAAATCGTATTTATCAGATACTACTCGGTAAATATGCAACGAAGAAAAATAAAGGACAAAGGAACAGAAAGTGATGGGGAGGGGCAGTTTTATAGGGTAATCAGAGAAGGCCTTTCTGATACAGTGATACTTGAGGGGAACTTTGAGTGCATACATATGATTATCTGGGGGAGGAGTATTTGGGGGAGCAAGAATAGCACGTAAAGTGAGAATATACGTGGTGTGTTCCAGGCACAGCATGGGGCCCAAGATGGATGGATGGAGGGGTAGACAGAGTTTAAAAAATAACATTAATACTTACTGAGTAGATCAACTAACACCAACAGCTATCAGCATACACTGAGCATTACACTGAAGACTAAAAAACACTGACCAAAACTACACAAAAATTAAGTGGGGCGGTATTACATCTAGGAGTTATCCAACACCACGATGTAAGAAAAGAATGTCATGCAGCTATTCTTACGGGCAAGCCAAGCCTCTCAACCTTCAATAGCAATGTTGGTTTCCCTGCTGTCAGTCTTTGCTCGGGAAATGATGAAGATGAAGGAAAAGAGCACTAGATCTATAATCACCTTCCTTGAGAGCAAAGAAATCTGAAACTTTCAGCTCCATTCTACTTTAAAGAATGTCACTAAATGTAACTAAAGCGGGCATTTGACTCACTCACCTGTCCAAAGAATATCTGCTCAGCTACATTTAACTCATTCATGAAATTAAGTTGTAAATTTTTTTCCTTTTTTTATTGAGACAGAGTTTCGCTCTGTTCCCTAGGCTGGAGTGCAGTGGTGCGATCTTGGCTCACTGCAAGCTCCGCCTCTTGGGTTCACCCCATTCTCCTGCCTCAGCCTCCCCAGTAGCTGGGACTACAAGCGCACACCACCAGGCCCGGCTAATTATTTTGTAATTTTAGTAGAGACAGGGTTTCACCGTGTTAGCCAGGATGGTCTTGATCTCCTGACCTCGTGATCTGCCCGCCTCGGCCTCCCAAAGTGCTGGGATTACAGGCGTGAGCCACTGCACCTGCACCCCCGTCTTTGTTTTTAAGAGATAGGGTCTCTTACTCTGTCACCCAGGATAGAGCACAGTGGTGGGATCACAGCTCACTGCAGCCTTGAATTCCTGGGCTCGAGTGATCCTCCCACCTTACCCTCCCTAGTAGCTAGGACCACGGGCACATACCACTAAATTTTTCTTTAATTTTTTTGTAGACACAGGGTCTGACCATGTTGCCCAGGCTCATCTCGAACCCCTGGGCTCAAGGGATCCTCCCACCTCGGTCTCTCAAAGTGCAGGGATTACAGAAATGAGCCACCACATTTGGCCAAAGTTGTAAATTTTGCTTATTAGTATGTGAATGCCATTTTTAGACTACTCTTAGGCGCCTCTTCAAAGAAACCAGATCATATTTTTTTTCATCTTTCATGTTTTTGATAAGTGTTTATAAATTCAATGAGATATACAATTCTACATAAAAAGATAAACGCTATTGGGTCAAATCAGAAAAGTATATTTAATTAACATTTTGCGACTGATGAGAAGCAGGGTATTCAAAGCTGCTATCCTTATACAACCTCCCTTGCTCCTACTCAGGGACACAAAGACCTGTTTTGAGTTGAAACGACCAGGAGCAGTGTCTGTTCTGCAGCCAGCGCAACTTGTCAGTTCAAACAATTACTCCTCCCTCATCCACTTGAATTCCCTAATCAGGTTGGATACATCAAAAAAAGTACTGAATTCTGACAATTGCTACAGACAGTCCTAGCTCCCCTGATCCACTCTTATGGCTACATGGACAGTTTCTACTGAATACGGAATATTAATACTGCACAGGGACAATATTGTACAATTTTCCAAAAAGTCACAAAGAGAAGCTAAATAACACAGAGGGGTCTTTCCTCAGAGGCAAAGACCTCTTTTGAGGAGGGGGCAGGACAAGAAAGGTCACCCTGGTCCTGAGATTCAGGGTCCATGAGGAAAGAGTAAGAAGAAAGCACGACCAGGTGAGTCCTGACACTGAAACAGAAGCTGTGGGAAGGCTGGGACCAGGAGGAATTAACTATTAGCAGGAAGTAGTCAGTGCCCAGCAGGTGAATTCTTCTGCAAGTGACAGAACAATTCTGTAATCTTTACTGTATCAATGTCAATATGACTGTGACTTTGTACTATAGTATTCTAAGACGGTAGCATTGGGAGAAACTGAGTAAAGGGTACAAAGAATCACTGTGCACTATTTCCCACAACTGCATATGAATCTACAATTACCTCAAAATAAAGAGTTTAATTTTTTAACAAAAAAAGAAAACCAAGCGTCGACACGTGGCTATAAGCTGCGTGTGCTGAATTATCATTATGTGAGCCACAGCTCACAGAAGGCTTACCTCCCAGTTACTGAATGAATATGATTAAGACCCACAAACGTAAAATGTTATTTATCTGTGCCCTAAAGGAGGATTTCAGTGCACAGAATGTTGTTTTCAAAATGTGCTCTCACCATATAATGAATATGGTAAAAATGGATATTGCCACATACACTGGGGACTTTGAAGCCATTTCTCTCTCCACTGAGGACCGCTGGGATTTCCCCAGGTTCAAGGCCATTCCCATGGCTCTCCACATCACTCTCTTCTTCCTCTGTTAACACATCATTACTCTCTGACACTGATGAGCATGACTGAGGTGACTTTGGCCATGAAAGCTTGGGTGGGTCTGATTTCTCGGGCTTCTCATAACCACTAGATAATGGAATGGAATCATCAGCCTCACTGAGTATAGAAGGTACACTTCTATATGCATAAGCTTTGTCATCCTCAGTTTTTATGTCTTCTGTTACAGATGTACTTAAGCAGCTGTTTCCTGAGGATAAAACAGAAGACTGTTAATAAATCTTGCATTGTATTATTACGAAGTAGAATTAGTAAATTATTCCCAACTGATTCCATATCTTACACACACACTCATACGCATGCACACACACATACATGCACACACACAAAACAAGCCTCATTTGTACCCATCACATACTAGCTCTGATACTGAACAATCCAGTTCTTCTACTTAAGTATTATGCCAGGGTTCAAAACCTGGAGATCAACGTGCAAAGAACCATAGAGTGACAGAATTAATGAAATTGAGGGCCCTTAGGCAAAACCATCCAGCAATTCATAAACTGGCTAATTAAACATAGTGTAAGAGAAAGCATGATGAGGGGCCGGGCATGGTGGCTCACATGTGTAATCCCAGCACTTCGGGAGGCCAAGGCAGGTGGATCACTTGAGGCCAGAAGTTCGAGATCAGCCGGGCCAACATGGCGAAACCCCAGCTCTACTAAAAATATAAAAATTAGTTGGGCATGGTGGCGCACACCTGTGGTCCCAGCTACTAAAGAGGCTGAGGCAAGAAAACTGCTTGAACCTGGGAGGCAGAGGTTTCAGTGAGCTAAGATTGTGCCACAGCACTCCAGCCTGGGCGACAGAGAGAGAGTCTGTCTCAAAAAAAAAAAAAGGACTATAATGAAATATCCATATGTATTGCCTAACTCTCTTTTCTGCATTTGTTGTAATTCCCTTCGCTACCTTCTCTACCTTGCTATCTCATATCCATTCATCAAAACTCAATTCAGATATCACCTTTGCCAGGAAACCTTGGCTCTCCAGCTTTTGTGTGTTTGAAGTCCTTCCTTGGTAAACCAGCAACATCCTAAGCAATCTCTATAATGCTACTTACCACGCTGGATTGTAATTATGTGGTTATTTGCCTAGCTCTCCACCAAAACATGAACTCATTTTTTTAAAGTTCTGTGGTTTCACCTCTATCCACACAGCTATTTCAAGAGCAAAGGCAATGAGGCTGGAGAAGCAGCTGAGGACCAGTTCAGGACTATATGAGGACTTTTTCTTTTAGTGTAGGTGGAATAATACTAAGAAGAAGGTAGTGAGAAGACCTAAGATTTTTTTCTTTTAAAGGATCACTCTGATGGTCACCTGGAGAACTGACTAGCTGGCGTGACTACAGCTGACACTCCTGAATAAGAAGGAAGCAATTGCTGCAGTCGTCCAGGCAAGAGTAATGGTGCCATGAGTGAGGGGGAAGCAGCAGAGGGAGTCAGATTCTGGCAGAGTGGGGAATCCCATGAGGAAGGATTTACAGGATGAGAAGTATGAGAGGAACACAGGAATTAGCATGATTATTACGAGACAAAAACTCCAACAAATACGAAAGAGGCAAATCATTAAAGCAGTTTCAGAAAAATATGCTACCAAAGGGAGAAAAGGCAAAGTAGCTGAGATTTTTAGACAATTGCTTTAGTACAGAAGAGAAGCGAGGGGACTATACATGTCATTTCACTAGGTTGACTTTTTATTATTGTTGTTGTTCTTAAAACCTTGATCTTTATTTTCTTCTTAAGTCGAAAGCTAAAAATCTACAAAGAATTATCGATAAATGGTTTTCTCTACTCATGTGAATTCAAAAGAAGCCTTCCAAAAACGTATATTGTAAATTGAGTTGCACTTAAAAAAAAAAAAAAAATCATTTTAGTCTCTTCTTTTTCATTAAACCAAATAGGCACTGCTGGCTGCTTGTCTCACAATTCTGCGACACACAGCAGTGAGGCTTTGTATAATATCCCCTGGGACTCTTGGTTGAGTTACCCCATGACTTTGGGTAGATTATTGATTAAGCTATGTGGACTAGTCAGATACTTGTCATAGTGAACATCAGTTTAAGACATCTGATCATCAACCACCTACTACTTATATGTGAAACATAATCAACCATCTTCTCACCTGAGAGTTTGATATGATCTGATAAATTCTGATCCACCTGCATCCTGCTAGCAGAGGACTCTTCTTCCGAAGGTGCTTCTGTGTTCCTCAGCTTCGCTGCTGCTTCTGACTTTTCACTGACCTTGAGGTCATCTGTGCCTGAGTCGGGGTTAGGGACCTCTGCCCCATCGACTTCAGCTGACACTTCCTCTTCCTCCTCAGCCTTAGGCCTTTTAGAGGTAGATCTAGCACACTGGAAGCTGTCAACAAGAGGAGCAGTGGTCAGAGCGGGATGTCTGCAATGGATATGAAAAACACATCCCAATATAAATGTCATTTTCACTTGCTTAAAGAAGGAAAAAACTGACATTGTTAATCACTATGCCAAGTCAATGTTCACAACTGAAAGATTAAATTTGAAATCAAAATCTTAAGAACAATTCTCAGATCAATCAATAAAATTTTAAAATTCACACAACTGTTAATAATTGATTATTAAACATTATTTTGAAAAAGGGCCATTGCTAAAATTTTGTAGCAACATTTTAAAAGTCTGAAAATAAAAATAAAGTAAAAAATGTTGAAATGAGAGAGAAATAAAATCAATCAATAAAATATTTAGATAATGAAGAAAATAAATGAAAAATCAGGATATCCTGTAAGGCTAGTGCTAAAAGTAAATTTTTTATATTTCAAGGTAAACCACTGACTACTTTTCATTTAGCTTTGTATAATTACCAGGTATGTATGAAAATAGTTCAAATTAAATGTCAATTCATCAACAGCTAAAGGATTTAAAACAGAAACAAGGCTAACTGGTACGTGGTTGTGGGTGTGGGTGCGGGTGGGGGTGTGTGTGTGTGTGTGTGTGTGTGTGTGTGTGTGTGTGTTTCATAAAGACACTGTCTCACTATATTGCCCAGGGTGGTCTAGAACTCCTGGCCTCAAGTGATCCTCCCTCACTAGACTTCCAAAGTGCTGGGATAACAGGCATGAGCCACCACATTCAGCCTAATTTTATGTATTTAACATCATACATCAACATACTATTTTCAGAGTGAACACAATTTTTATCTTCTTCCTCTCTATTTTCCAGCTAGTCACTTGATAGCTTTGGCATATATGCTTTTTACATATGAAACAAACATTCCTAACAACTAGGAACAATTACAAATCAACTCAAAGCAACAGTGTCCAAAACACACCCATATGTATTACACACACCCAAGAAACTACCACAGGACTAAGCACTGTACGATGTCAGAGATTGCAGAGAATAGGGTGGCCAGCGATAACCTATATAAATCAGCTTTCCCTGCTGCTGATGGCAGTAACAGTAGTAGTACTGTCATCACCATCATCACTTTTGCTGCAAATCCATGCATTGGCTGATGTGGGAAAATCTCAACATTATAAACGGTGTAGTACGTGTGAAAAAAAGAAGGCTGACATGTGCTTGAGACGTCAATGAATCATTTCCTTCATCAGACTTCCCTAAATGGGATATTTCCAAAGGGAGATCAATAATCTCTAAATATCAAGCCACAAGGCTGAGCATATTAAACAAGCCCATAGTCAGGCTTTCTAACTAGGTAAGCAAGTTCCATTGATTATTTGAACCTACTGACAAGCATTTCGATCTCTTCAAGTGTCATAAATCTATGGTCTCTATCAACCCAAAAGGCCCACTGTGGTTAACAACTGGAAACCAAGTCATACACCTAATGAAAATATTGTGTTTTCCATCCACTAAAGAACAATGTTCAAGATGTTCTACTGGTATGTATTCTGAACTCAGGATTGGATACTGCCTCCTTCCAATGCTGGGTTCTTTCGTGCTATGAATTAACACATTTATCAAAGACACTGACTGTCCAAATTAGTATTTCTCAAACTCTTCTTGAATGTAACACACAGTGAGTTATACATTTCAGATAGTGGCACTACATACCACAGACACACATACTCACACGTCATGAGTGAATATTTGCCCTTACCACAGAGGAAGCACTACAATCGTTTTTATTCTATTTTACCACCTCATTTTAAAATGTTGGTCCTGACCTACTAACAAACACACTGACAATCATTGCGGTAAACTATAGGGTGAAATATCAACACCTGAGTTAGTTCTGCACCTCAGGTCTAGCTCTTACAAAATGCCGAAGTTTGGCTCCATGTTACTAAGGTTCTTTCACTCACTACCATTTTAAATTAGCAGAAAATAAATATCAGGGAAAAGAAAAGACAGAAAATAAGCATCATAAGTCTGGGCAAAGATGTAAAATTATGGTGTTACTTAGTTAATATCAAAAAAAGTGGAAACACTCTACAGGGGATAAAATACATGCAGGCATTAAAAATTATGTTGCAGCAAATCAATCAGTTACATGAAAAAAACACTCAAAACTCATCATCAGATTGTTAATAGAGCATGGCCCCAGATTTGGAAAGATATATAATATTCATAAAATACATAATAAATATATAGGTAAAGGATATATACAAAATGTTAACACTGGTTATCTCTGGATAGTGAGGTTATGAGTGATATGGGATTCCTTCATTATTCTTTTCCTTATTTTACAAATTTCCTCCAATGCACAAATATTACTTTTATAATCTGAAAGAAAAACAATGAGTAATATTGAAGAGGAAAATTTAATATAAAATTGGAAAACATAAGAGCCTTAAAAGGTAGCCTAAGGACCTGAGCAATACAACACACCCTATTCAATAGGTTTTAAAACAACAAGATGCCCACAGCAGATCTAAAAGCTTTTGAAATGATCCTGGCCACAAAGACGGAATGGAAAATAAAGTTCACAAGGATAAGCATGTTTCAGAAATGCCATGTGCTGTGTTTTACATCTTACGAAAGAATAAAACCAAGTGCATAAAATGTAGCAAAATATAAGCATCTAGATGAGAGTAGTAGCTCGGATGTCGGACAAATGAAGATGACCACTAAAGCCAAAAAGCAAAACGGTGGCAAAATGAAAAAGTGGAAAATCAAGTTATTGATTAACATATGGAAATGCACAGAAAGGAACAATACAGCCATAAAATACATTCATGTAAGTGGTCTAACAAATTCTATATTGTTCTATTTGCCATGTAGAGCAACTTCAAGAATATTCTCAAACAAAATAAATATACATCTCTTCCTATATTGTATTTATTACACATCTAACAATTAAAAATAATTTGTGTCACATTTTCAGAAAGGTATTAAGTTACAATGAATAAATAGAAAAAGCAAGTAGATTGCCTTTGAGAACACCACATCCAATGACCCATTTTAACTGAGAAAACACTACAGGCAAGGAACGTCAGTGGGGTGAGGGGTCATTACCTCCGGGATGCTTTTCTTACTTTCCTCCTTCTCTGCAGCCATGCTTTTACTTCAGGGGTGGATGCTGGAGTAGGCTTCGTGTGATCAATGGTATATATATCCTTTCCTTGTTTCCAAAGCTGATACCTGTCTGGCTGAAATTTCCTCACAAAGATATCCATTGAAATTTTCACCATGTCTTTCCTGCAAGTGCACTGAAACACAACCGGGTTGGAGAGTGTTAAATGTTTCACTAACTATACAGTAACACAGAGTTGGTCCTTGAACACACTATCCATGAATACTTAGTCACTACGTAATGGAGGATAATGCATTACATCATCAAACATTCAGTGGGTGATAAACCCAATTTCTTCTGAATAGAGATAAGAATCTATATATTCACATTTATAATGTGGTTATAATGGTTTGTGGACCTCATAGGTAACTATGTACCAAGAAAAACTAAAAGGAAAGAGTGCTCATTTGGAAGCATGTCTGCAATGGAAAGATTATCTGCCCATCACAATGATGTGTCAATGAACTGAGCACTAAAAGGTCTATAAAGGTGAAAACCTGGGTTGTCAACAAATAAAACCACCCAATGAATGTGTGATTAGAATACTTTAACCAATGAGTTGAGATAAAGTTACTCCAAGATATATTTTGTTATATTTGTGGTTATTAACAAACTGTCATAAGGTAACCCAAAATTAGGAGCAAATGAATAGCCTTTTCTACATCACATTACATACAACATCCAATACCATTAACAACAACAACAAACATATCCACTAAAATGAAGACATGGGGTAAAGGTGAGAAGTTCAAAGAAAAAATTATTTTGATCTACTATGCCTTTAATGCTCATGAATACATAGTTATCAGTCACATCTTATTAACCAAGTTTTCTATAAAGACTTCACGCAAAGTTTTATCAGGTCTAGGCCAACACTAAGCAACAGAGAAGTTATCATTCAAATGGTGGTGCATAAATAATCTCCACGATTTAACTGATACACCTTGACAATCCCTAACATACCTGGTAACAGACTGACTGAACAGTTTTGACACAATAGGACTTCAGATATCTTGGTGATACAATTATCACCTCCATGCAAATTAATTCCAAAGTCTTAATAATATCCAAACCCAAACTCCCACCACAGAGTTCTCATCCTAATGACCATTACATTCAAAATACCTAAACTCAATGTCTTCAACTGCAAACCACACTGTCTATACCAAATGATACCACAGTTCTATTCTCCTACATTCATAGTCCACATTTCCTAGACACTCCCTACACCTTCACCCCTAAAAATTCAGCCTTGTCTCCATATACAGTGTCTCCTGTCTCAATTCCTTCTGCCAGCATCCTTGCAGCTGCACTGCCAGGCCTTGAATCCTAGCATAGAAGGCTAATTTCCCTGCCTGTCATTTCTCCTAACAATAATCCATCATTATAGCTGTTACTTTCATCTCCCCCAAATATCTTACAATCTTTCATTCCTGAGTTCAATAAGGTGTAACCACCTGGCTTTTCCTTTAGAATAAGGTCTAAATTTATGAGCCTGGCATTAAGGGTTCCAAGATTCTACTCCACCAATGAGATTTTCCGGTTTCTCTCCCGCAGCAAGTCAACATGAATATTCCTCTTCAACCCAAGTCATGGGAGCCCAAATGCCCCATATGCTTCATTACTTCAGTATTTTCCTCCTACCACACCACCTTCCTGCATACTAGTCTGCTATCCAGCAAAACTTCATCCTTAGCTCTGACTATAAACTGTCCCAACTGTTCCTCTGAACCTAATACTATTTATCTACACCGCTGCTTTCTATTATTGGTTACGTATAATGAGGGTTCGAAGTTATCTTGCTATAATTATCTTGCCACTGGAATATAGAAAATGAGGGTCCTGAGAAAGTGAAAGATATTTTGGATTAAGATGTAATCTATTGACAAAAGGGGGAAAAAAGCTTGGAATTATAACAAGAAACTTTCTTCAAGTGTTGCTAAGATTGCTTTACAAAGAAAAAATAAACAGTGAACAAAGTGATGCTCCCCATTTTAATGAGCTAATGTAGGCCTGATCATGATTACAATTGTAACATCCTTAGGGCAGATAAGCTGGTGAGGTACAGAACACTATTTCTGAGGAAAGTGTCTCAGAAAAAAAGCCTTTGACTTGATTAATATTCATCTTGTTTGCTCAGATGATGCTACGAAGCCTAAACAGAAACAGCAGATAAGCCATGGTCAAAGAGGAGGTTGCTCAGAGACTGGAGGATGGTATTGCTAGACAAACTTGCTGAACAGATTAGGCATGTGACTCATGGATCCAATCAAGCATGTCAGCAGAAGCCAGGAACAGAGAACGTGGTTATCCAGGAAAGAGCTGTGCAGGACCATCTTGCTTGATGGTTGGATGTCCATGAACTGCACAGAAGACTGACAAGGATTTTGAGACTTTTATACCGGCAGAAATGCTGCCGGCCTGAACTGAAAGAAACAGAGACAGGAAAAAATAAAGGAACGACTCCAAGGACAGAGCGACAAACGCAGAACGACTGAGTCAACAGAACCTCATTGGGCCATTACAACAGCCCTAACAAACTACCCTTCAGGAGGTACAGAAACATGCCACCCTGTGTCTTAAGATTTGTTATTTGAGGATTAAATCAACCAGAAAACCCACCTACACTAAATTTTTCTAAATGACCTAAATCCACCAACAATTACAATCTCAGTAATGGTATAAAAGATAATATAAAAAGATAAGTTTACACCTTTAAAGTTTATTTGGAATTATTACGCAATGGAAGATGGGAAAAAAATAACACCATATCAATTTGCTGAGAAACTGTAAAACCCATGATGCAAATAGTGTTTAAAAGACTGGATTCAAACTCCAGCTTCAACACTGACAAGCTATGAAATCTTCAACAGCTTCTTTAACCTCTCTGTGCCTCAGTTCCCCCATCTGAAAAACTGGGAGGAACAGTGGTAACTATCCTCATGGGGCTGATAATAGAATTGGCTTATACAAATTGCTTTTTAGTATTCTGACCACAAGAACACAGAGGTTTCTAGTGTTATCTTATTTTGCCTTACCGAAAAAGTGGAAGCAATAAACGAAATAAGAATCAGAATACTGCATCTAACAAATGGTCTTAAGGGTCAAGGGGAAGTAAGTGCATGGTGCTTCTGAAGAATCAAACAGAAGGAGCAATCCCAGACTTCTAGGAGATTGAGAAAATCCTAGAGGACTGGGCCATTGTCACGGGAGAAGTGAGAGCAGTGTACCTCAAGTTCCTGTTTGTATCCTATGTCGCAACCAGACTCAACTCCATGGCTTCACATCTAGAGCAAACAACTGAAACTGGAGGCCCAGAAGATGACAGGCATTAATGAGAGGAAATGCCCATAACATGAATTAATACTGCCCAGGTGTTCAAGGTAGGATGCTGCAAGGTAAAAATTAAGATGGAGGCAGGGGTTCGACTCATGTGACTTCTTCGTTCTCCACTGTATTTAAAAAACAAAATAGGCCTCCTTTTAACATAAGAGTTTAGTATTACATGGCAACATGTATGTGGTTTTGGGAGACATGAAATAATATCCACTTGAATCTCAGGATTGAAGAATAACTTTCAGAACATACCGGGGAAAAGTTCCTTTCTTGTTTACATAATATAAAACTCTAGTGAATTTCAAACATATCATATCATAACCTAAAGAGGATAATATTTAAAATTTAAAGAGAATTACTGTCTTTCATAGAAAAGTGTTAATTTTCCAACAATTATGAAAAGAACCCAATGTAGAAGATGAATTAGATTTGTTGAACAGGACAATCATAAAGAAGGGAGGAGCCAATGACAAACTCTTATTTTGAAGATTTAAATATGTCCAAATGACACTAGGTGCGTGGGTATAACCTGTAGTCCCAGAACTTTGGAAGGCCAAGGCAGGTGGATGGCTTGATCCCAGGAGTTCTAGACCAGCCTGGGAAACATGTTGAAACCCCGTTTCTACTAAAAATACAAAAATTAATCTCATAACCCAGTCTCAAAAACAAATAAGCCCAAATGAAGCACATATTGTTGTCTTCTGGTGATGCACGAGTAGATACCATACCTTTAGATCTATTCTGTCCTGTCCTATCCTTTAGATCTGAAATACTGTCCTTTAGGGTAGCCACCAAAAATGTATTTACCGATAAAAATGACTTATGCCAAAAAAAAAAAAAAAAATCAAACAACATATTGCTATTTCCTTAAGAAGTGGGAATGGATAATTTAAAAAGCAAAAGTTAGTTTTAAACACCCTAAATTTTTAAATCAAACTCCAGCCTCCCCTCTCCCAAAAATGTTATTGCTCTTGAAGGTTATCAGCTAATTATCTCTGAGGCACAAATTACATTAGATCAGAACTACAGAATGAAAAAGGCATCTATTCTATATTCTATCCAACACAAAGCAAATGTGCCTGACATCCCCCAATATATAAGGTATAAAAACATGGGACTGTGTATAAAATTTTAAAATGCAAAATGTTCAATGAAATTGCAATTCACTGGCTTTAAGAACCCAACAGTTTATATGTTATTAACACAAGTTGCCCTCTGAATAGTACTATACATATAATATTATGAACAAATGGAAGAGACATTTGATATTTCATTATTTTCTAACAACCTTAATGTTAGTGAAGAAAATAAGAATTAAGAATGTATTAACAATCATTTCTAATTTGTATATGACTTCATAATTCATAATTATTCATTATTTCTTTCTTCATTATTTCTATATTAAGAAGTAACAAAGCACTGCTAAGTGTCAGGAATCAAAGTAACCTCCTATTTAACCAAGAATATGTCTGGTGGTGGTAACTAACAGGGCCAAAATCATTAATTAGGCCTGACATGTAATTTTATTCTAGCTCCTCAGACTCTCATAATCAGGTAGATCTGTGCAAGTTCAGATATGTTAGTCTAAAAAAAAAAAAAAAAGGTGTAATACCCTAACTGAATTATTTTATTTTTGAGACACGGTCTCACTTTGTCACCCAGGCTGGAGTACAGTGGTGCAATCTCAGCTCACTGCAATCTCCCCCTCCCTGGTTCAAGCGATTCTCCTGCCTCAGCCTCCCAAGTAGCTGGGATCACAGGGCATGTGCCACCACTCTCGGCTGATTTTTGTATTTTTAG